ATTGCCAATACCAGAAGCCGCAAATAAAATAATAAAAGTCACTAAGAAGGGCATGAAATACTGCTCGGGCGTAGCTGAATGATAAGCTTGCATCATCACATAACCCACATAAACAGAAGCAATCACCATGACCATTGAAATAACTTGCGTCACGATCGCACCGCCCACTTTGTCAGCAATCCAACCGCCAACCGGGCGAATCAACGCACCGACAAAAGGACCAATCCAAGCGTAAGTTAGTGGAGAAGGCGCATTCGCGTTTTTGACATGGTTCCAAGTTTGTGTGGCGGCATCAAAAATATGTTGATTACCAAAAATCACTTTAATGGAGAGGGGCAATGCCATTGAAAACCCAATAAAAGAACCAAACGTGACAATGTAGAGTGCCGTCATGGCCCAAGTGTGTTTGTTCTTAAAAATGACATACTGTTTATCGATATTAGCTTTCATTTCACCAAAAGCAGTGACTTTCATCAACCCCAAGGTGGCAATGATGATGAGTGGCAACGCAATCCACATATTGAGGATTCCGAGCCCAGTGGGGGCAGGTAAATATAAATATAAGCCCAGTGCCGCAGTGGCAAAAGCCAAAGAATATAGCCAAAGAACCTTAATACAGGCCATCAACGTTCCGCCCATATTGGGTGAAATCGTTAATAAGTTATTCATGCCAAAAAAAGCCGCAATAGTAATGGGCACTAAAAATACGAGCCAAATAAAGCCTCCATTTTGAACCCAGGTTTGCGAACCCGCTAAAATTTTGCCGAAAATCCATCCAGAATCTTTTTGTAAAACCATGGGTTCACCACCCAATGCACCGAAAATACCAGCGGTCATCACGAGTGGAATAAGAATCTGCATCGTCGTTACCCCAAAATTGCCTAGCCCAGCATTAATCCCTAAAGCTGTGCCTTGAAGTCTTTTAGGAAAAAAGGTGCTGATGTTTGACATCGAACAGGCAAAATTACCCCCCCCAACTCCAGAGAGCAAAGCAATGATTTGGAAAACCCATAATGGCGTGTCTTTATTTTGCAAAGCAATACCCGCTAACAAGGCGGGGATCATCAGTAGAGCAGTGGTAAAAAAAATGGTATTGCGTCCACCCGACAAACGAATAAAAAACGATGCGGGTATGCGCAAAGTCGCACCCGCAAGCCCAGAAATGGCCGTCAGAGTAAACAATTGATCATCACTAAATGGAAACCCTAGATTGGACATTTGTACGGTTAGAATGCCCCACATCAACCAGATAGCAAATCCTTGCCACAAGCTGGGCACAGAAATCCATAAATTCCGATAGGCAATTTTACTGCCGCCTTCGTTCCACTCCTGTTCATTCTCAGGATTCCACGATTGAATATCTCTAGACATAACTTTCCTTATTAACGCTTGAATTTAGGGTCACTTGATTTGATTAAGAGTGGATGGATTTCATTTCTGGTAGGTATTTGCCTTGATGCTGTTCTCGTTCCATAATGACTATTGATAGATGCATCCATACGAGGGCAATTGCTGTAATGACAAAAAGCAACATAAAACAACTGGTCCAAATATTGGTTAAGTCATTTAGAAATCCAAAACAAATCGGTAGAATAAATCCGCCCAAACCACCAATCATGCCAACCATTCCCCCCACTGCACCCACATGATTGGGGTAATACACGGGAATGTGTTTGTAAACGGCAGCTTTACCTAAGGACATAAAAAACCCCAAGACAAAAGTCAAACCAACAAAGGCATAAATCGAGGTATGAATCGAAAAAGGAATGGGTCCTTTAATGCCTTGAATGACAAAATCGGTATTGGGGTAAGATAAGAAAAAACAACATAAAACGGAAACGGAAAGGGTAATATACATCACGCGTCTAGCACCCCACTTATCAGATAACCAACCACCGACGATACGAAATAAACTGGCTGGAATAGAATAGAGGGCAGCAATCATCCCAGCTTGCTTGATATCCATGCCGTACGCACCTGTTAAATATCGAGGTAGCCACAATGCTAAGGCAACAAAAGCACCGAAGACAAAAAAGTAATACAAAGAAAATCGCCAAACTTGGAGGTTTTTAAGGGGGGCAAACTGCTGTGCTAATGGCATAGCTTTAACCCCCTTCTGGCGACGATTGGCTAAATCAGGGTCGTCTTGTGCCAAGACAAAATAGGCAATCCCAGTGATGAATAAAATGCCTGCCCATATTTGGGCAACCGCCTGCCAGCCCATAGCCAACATCACGAACGGCGCGCAAAACTTTGTAACAGCCGCACCAACGTTCCCTGCGCCAAATATCCCTAGGGCTGTCCCTTGTTTTTCTGTACCGTACCACTTAGAGACATAAGCTACCCCAACAGCAAATGAGCCTCCGGCCAAACCAACCCCTGCAGCAGCAAGTAAAAATTGTGGGTAAGTATGGGCATATGATAAAAACCATGTGGCAATTGCCGCAGAAACCATTAAAGCTGAAAAAATGATCCTTCCGCCATATTGATCTGTCCAAACACCCAGAAATAAACGGATTAAGGATCCAACGAGGATCGGTGTCCCTGCCAATAACCCAAACTGGGTATCGGTTAAGTTGAGATCTTTTTTGATCTGTAAGCCTATGATCGAAAATATTGTCCAAACTGCAAAACATAAGGTAAAAGATAATGTACTTAACACCAATGCACGAGTTTGACCATTTTGTGTAGTCGCCATATTTGTATGATCCATTGTGAACGTTATCAATCCCTCCTCACATCGGTTTGGCGTTACTCAAGCCAAGTGAGTGGTATAGCGATTCTGCTACAATACTGAGCTAGGGTCATTGATTAAAATCAAGACAAAATAAAATGGGTTTTTTGCGACACCTTGACGCGTGATCACTTTGAGTGCTTTAGGGATGTATGGTTTTGTTATTCGTAAACAATCAAATAGTTAAGTGTTTTTGTGCAAAGGGTTTGCTGTCCATGATTACCCCAACGGTGACTGAGACTGTTTTTTAGAAAGGATATCCTGTGCCACAGGTCCAACAAATCACGCCTATGTCGGTTATTAAGCGTCAGGGTTTCAAGCCCCTTCTATTTGAAGGGTTATCCGAAGAAAGCCTGAGTATTTTGTTGCAGAAATCGGTGGTACGAGATTATTCCCAAGGGGATATTTTGGTTCAGCAGGGAGATACCCCTAAGTTTGTCTACCTAGTCTTAGAAGGTAATGTTCGCACGGTCCGAATCGGGCCAGAAGGGACGCAGACGACAATTCGTATGTTATCAGTTGGCGAAACGTGTATGGATGCGGTATTGTTTATGAATAGCGTCTCGCCTGTTCAGGCCGATGTGGTTAATGCTGCAAAAATTCTCATGATTCCGTGTAATTTTTTGAAAAATCGCATTTTGGTTGACGAACAATTGGCCAAAAACATGATTCAAATCGTGGCGAAATTTTATAAAAGTGCCATTAAACAAATTGATCATTTAACCAATCATTCTACCTTGAGTCGTGTCGGGCACTATTTGTTGGGCGAACATTTGCGAGCTGGACATGATCATTTACAGTTTGTTTTATCTTTTAAAAAAAACACGATCGCCAATCATCTAGGAATTACGCCGGAGACCTTTTCTCGAGCTTTGGCGCAAATTAAACGTTTGGGCATTAACATAGATGGTGATACCATTAAAATGGTAGATGCCTTTGTGTTGTGTCATTTTTGCGATTTGGAAAGTGCATCGCAATGTGAAAAGCACGTAAATGGCGTTTGTCCATACCATTGCCCAAATAACTAAATCCATCTTTTCAAAATTTTGTGATAAATGTAGGCGCTGAAATGGTGTTTTATATTGTCGGTAGTTATGGCAATCAGAATTTTCATGGAAAATGGGTATACATGTGTTTATCATGGTTAGACTCCGCATTGTTCTGTGGCTGCAAGAATGAGAGCACCTAATTGAATATCTATTTGGACTTGACGTATCGATGTAGACGTGTTAGCCTTTGAAAAATCCGTTGATACACCGCCAGTAAAATCGTTTTTATGTTTTCGACTAGGCAAGGTGGCTCTATGTTAGTCGTGAGATATTGCGTTACTGTCTCGCAAAAAGTGGCTTCGATTCAATTGCTTGAGTCGAGGTTTTCGTTTGGCGAATTTAGGAGATGGCGATGTCAATCATTATTTGGAGTATTTTTGGTCTAATAGCAGTTTTGGTGTGTGTGTTGATGTTCGTCAACAGACGTTTTGTCATTTACAAAGAAGACTACAAAATTTGTGCTGAGGATTTGCATTTTCACTTATCAGCCCGATACGAACTATTGTCACAACTCTCTGGCTGTGTCAATACATTAACACCTGAGGCGAATTCGGGTTTTAAAGCACTCATTACTGAATTCAACGAAATTATTACCCTTAACAAAACAATGTTGAATCAGTTTAGATACGACCGCGCTAGCTTGAAGAGCTGCGAAATGGTGCTCAATGCTGAAACATTTCTGCGTATTACCATAGAGAACTTCACCTATGCTATTCAAAATTATCCACAGCTTAAAACGAATGAGAAAATTAATGAACTCATTGAAGAATTGGCTGCCAATGAGGATATGGTGATCTACAGCCGCAACGAGTTTAATAAATATGTGCGCAAATTTGAAAAATACTATGCTGAAAAATCCTTGCGTGGTTGGTTGTCTAAACATCAGCGAGTGGGGCGTGTTATTCGCATTAATACCAATCAATTCAAAAAGTTGTTGCTAAACTGGTTGCAAAAGGATGTTACCAAACAAGTAGAGTTAACAGAAATGTTAGCGGATTTTGGTGCCGTCATTCGTTTGCAAGATCGAGATGAGGTGTGTGCGTGTAATCGGGTGAATAAACGGACCATCGTTAATGCTATTGTTGATCATCATCTATCTACGGTTTTTGAAGTGCGGGAAATAACAAAAGCATCAGGTTCTTGCGGGTCATGCACACAAATGGTCGGCGATATTTTACGTTTCACATTGGAGCAACAGAAAAAATCAGCTCAAACGCGTGTACTAGCCGGCACCAAGCCTTTGTGAAGGACGCATCATGTGGTTTTATGTTTGCACAAGAGCGCGCCATTAACATGACCTTACCGTGACGCTTCACTACGCGCTGTCTAATTAGTACTCATTCACATGTTGTAGCTAGTCAAAACATGGCTGTCGCTAAGACGTTTGTGAGCGGCAGTTGGTCCTGATGTTTTGAGTAAACGTGTACATTTTATTCAAAACAAAGGATGAATCCGCAGGTCCATGATGTGCAGAAAAATTGAACAAGTTTATTTGTTATATCAATTCTCCATCAAAGCGCTACTTTGTCATGGCTCCTAGCCTTACTACAGTAATGTCTTCGTCGCCATTTC